TTATCATTATTATTATTAATTATTATCTTGGTTTTTGTCTTGCTTTGTTTTGTTTTTCAAGACAGGGTTTCTCTGTGTAGCTTTGGAGCCTGTCCGGGAACTCGTTTTCGTTAGACCAGGCTGGCCTTGAACTCACAGACAGAGCTCTGCCTCCCCTGCCTCCCGAGTGCTGGGATTACAGGCCTGCACCACCACCACCCAGCTGAGGGGCATTACTTGGTGACACATAGGAAAAAAAAAGGGGAAAAGCATGCAACGTGAAGATTTTCTAGAAACCAGAGTTACAATTGAAGGTGACAGTTAAGTACCATAAAAAACACAAGTATTCTTCCAAAGTGAAAAGCCTAAAGATTAAGTACGTAGTTCAGAAAGTTTGAACGGCTATATCCCCAAGAAGCTTGGTCCAAGGAAGCTGGCATCTACAAATATGCTCATAAAGATGCCTCTCACATTTCTAATCTATGTATTTCCAATAAAACAATGAGTCCCATGCACACTGCATTAAAATCAGCAGACGCTATAATCACAAATTATAATCACAAATTTTAAATGTAATCTTGACACTCTAATTTAGACCCTGGATTTTTCCAAGCTATAATCAATGAAGTATGAAACTAATCAAGTCACTTGACCTTGTAATTCTGCTTCAAAAATCTGGTTCATGTATTCATATTTTATAATTAATTATTGTAATAATAAAAAATATTCAAAATACATTTTAATTTCAGAAGCATTTCTGAAAAAGTTAGGAACTTTTGGATCAAGGAGACCTGTAAAAGATCAAATCAAATGAAACAGCTAAAAATTAGGGCTGTTTCGTTCACGTTGACCAAATGTGTCATTTTATATGGCCTGGTAAAACCAATAAAATGAAAATAAGATTTTTAAAAAGCCAGGAAATAAAAGAATGACAGTCAGCAACTGTGGAGAGAGAAAATAGGATTACATTTATTGGGTATTATATCAACTTAACTTCCCATAAAAAAAAAAAAAACTCCTGATCTACTTAGTAACTTCAGAACTGAAGTATGCTCTCCAAAGGGAGTTGTAAAACAAATTAGATACAATTACAATTCAATACAAATAAAAAGCCAAACCATTTACTCTTAAGAGGTCTCATTTTATAGCTTCACCATTTAAACTAGACCAGATTTTCTCCTAATCGATGAAGTGGGCCACTTGGCATAAGCTTAGGTTTTTCTAGTATGTTTTCCACAGAGAAAAAGAGATAATATGAATACATCCTGGAAAACTGCATCAACCACATCTCCCTAGAGCGAATGCAATAAACATCTGCTGTAAGGATTGCCTGGCCTTTCCAACAGCATATAGGGTGTTCTTTCACCCAGATTTCCCCAGGGTGTTTGTTTTGTTTTGCTTTGTTAAAAGACAATGCATGTGTCTACTACTAATTCTCAAGATAGAAAACCTCAAAATTTTGGTGAGCTGAACAAATCAAGACCAGGTACATTATAGGAAGGGAAGATAGGCTGCCTACAAGATCCCACTTGTTTCTCAAAGGGCAATGAGATAGCTGGGCACGTTGCCCGCTTGTGGGTTATGGAGTAATTTTAACCATTGTCTTCCTTTCTTAATTCTGTATTCCATACAGACAGCAACATGCACAGCATGAGATGGGGCTCAAATATTTGACTTCCTGATGATCTCTATCTTGTTGGAGTCTGGCAACCAGTCACCTGTCTCCTGAGTCTCGCTGGCTTCCATTCACTGCTGAGTTAACAAACAAGTGAATTCTTAAATTTTACTTGAGTGACAGGACAAATCCTGGCACATTTCCCCCAGAAAACATGAAATACAATAATTTTCCGGAAGAGAGGAATCACCAAGCCTAAGTGTACACACTTTTTCTTGACTGTGTCGCATTGTTAGTGTGTCCTATTAAACGAAAGCATCTCCCTTGATTTTTGAGCAGAATTTCTCCCTTAAAAGTCACAGATACTTTGCAGAGTAAAACACCATCTTTTTAAGGCTCTAAAGCCTTACCAGCTCATACACAAATCCGCAGGCACAGACAAACAAAACGCTGGTTAAGCTGTATAAGACATGGACATTTAGCCGGGCGGTGGTGGCGCACATCTTTAATCCCAGCACTTGGGAGGCAGAGGCAGGCGGATCTCTGTGAGTTCGAGACCAGCCTGGTCTACAAGAGCTAGTTCCAGGACAGGCTCCAAAACCATAGAGAAACCCTGTCTCGAAAAAAAAAAAAAAAAGACATGGACATATGGTATCTTAACGAAAGGGAAGAATAGCAAAGAGATGACCATGTCTGAAGATATTTCTAAATACATGCCTAAAATATATTTCAAGTAACATGGAACTCTGTTTGCTTTTCAATCTCCTACCCAGGCCTGCTGTTCCCAACCAGTCTGAGGGCATTGTTTATACAACACGGAGGATTCAGTTTCACAATTCCATTTTTATGCTAACAATAAGGTACTGATTTAATTCTGAAAACATTCCTGAGACTATTTCAACCAGGTACTATATAAACACACCATAGAGAGTAGCCTCTTTGCCATCAAGAGAAAGATGGGATGTTTCCCACGTTTTCTTTTCTCAGCCGAACTGAAGCCAGGGTGAGCAAGCATTTCATTGTGCTTCTACATAGCTCAATGTCTTCATAGGAATCCACCGCGCCCCCCAAATCCTCCCAAATGCTCTGCTAACATGTACCTATAGGGTGTATGTTGATACAACCACAAGGGAAAGTGCTTTACTTTTAGGACTTTTAGTACCTTCAAACTGGTATTACATAAATTCTATTTACAAGCAAAACATTCTGGGAAAATCAATTTAAAGTTGATATAAGTGGGAAGGAAAATGAAGTTCTCATGCATTCTAGTATATGTACAAGTTGGAGATTATTTTCAAAAATATCTATGAATATTCAATATTTATAGACATCAGTTGGTGAATCAAAAGTGAATATTTGTGCTTTTTCTTTAAGGCTAAATAGCTAGTTAATATACACAAGGAATACTCAGAAGCAATTAATTGTGAGAAGCTCCTTTTATTCAATGTTTCTCCTACAGAGGGTTACCATGGGTCATATGTTAAGTTTAAATAATTTATCTGGCGGGGTTGGAGAAATGGCTCAGTGGTTAAGAGCATGTACTACTCTTCTAGAAGATGCAAGTTCAGTTTCCAGGATCTGATGCCTGTAGCCTCCACGGGCATCTGCACCCACATTCACAAACCCATAATTGAAAATAATAAAAATAAATCTTAAAAAAAAACATGTTTTGTCTTGGCTATCTGATGTCTAAGAAAAAGTTTACTTTTTCCCAAAAGAAAGCAATTCTGTCAGCTCCATCTGACCTACATCTGAGTCAAGGTTAGGTTGATACTCGCATCTACCGCTATGTCACACTGACATATCATACATACTTTTTACACACACATAACTATATTGTCTATATGTACTGTATATTAACAGTTTCCACATCGCCTACGAGAATGACGATATACTCCAAGTAAAGCACTTCACAGCATAAACAGATATAGCTCTGGTGACAAGCCAGCACTGCATTCTAGAACATTCCCTTCTACAGACAGAAAGCCTCAAGGCAAGAAGCTAACATATGGAACAGGTCCAGGAGGCACCACAATCGCAGTGCAAGGCATCTGCACGGTGACAACCAAATGGCTATTTATCTTTTATCTTTTCTTTCCTTCCTTCTGTCTGTCTGTCCATATGTTCTCCCTCCCTCCCTCCTTCCCTCCCTCCCTTCTTTTCTTTTTTTGTTTTGTTTTGTTTTGAGACAGAGTTTCTCTGTGTATCTCTGGCTGTCCTGGAACTCATTCTATAGACCAGGCTGGCCTTGAACTCAGAGATCTGCCTGCCTCTGCCTCCAGAGTACTGGGATTAAAGGCATGCACCACCACCATCAGGCTGCTATTTTCTTTAATTATATTTATTTATATTTTCCAAACCCTACAAAGTGAAAAGGCGGTAAGTCTTGAATGCTGAAGGAGGCAACTACAGATAGCTCTGAGGGCTGAATAGCAATCACTGCTTCAGCAGTTCTTGTTTTTGTTTTTAAACAAATGAGAACTATCTCTACACAGGCCCTCTGCCTCTTAATACTGCAAAATTAGAAATAATTACCAAAATTAATCCTATGCACTTACAACAATTTATTGAGAAGCCAGACGCAAGCTCTTGGCCACGGGTCCACACTACATGTGAGGGAAGGCTGGAACTGAATCCCGCTATGCTCTTGGCTCCTTATCTACTTTTTCAGACTGTAGGGCAACAGCACTCCTATTAATAATTTTAATCCTAAACCACTCGAGTTGTTACAGTTTTCTGAGGGAGAGGAGAAGAGACATCCTGCAGAATCTGGGGCAAATACATCAGGAGGTTTGAGTCCACTGTCCCTGAGTTATAATCTATTTACATATTATTTCAGTGCTAGAAATCAGAAACTTGGCTCATAGTGGCACTGTTTACCCAGAATAGTCTCGCACTTTCAAAGGACAGAAACAACCTAAGAAAGGCAATTAGGTGAGGAAAGAATAGAGCCATATTAAAATGTATTTGGTGGCATGAAACTTGCAAGGTAAGACATCAGTTTTTCAGCCACACCAAGTATTTCAGAGGAAAATAACACAATATTTGAGGTCTGGTAATGTGTGGAGAAACGGACAGTGTGTCCCTCTGAAAGGTGGTGGACAGGGATTAAATTAAAATGCTGTGAACTAGGCTTTTACCTCTTCAAAATAAAACAGAAAATACCCAGGCAAGTCTTCCAGTTAAAAAAAGAATTTGTGTTTTATAAGCAAGATCAGGAATATAAATATGAGTCATCAGAATGATAACTGGTATTCTGCTACCCGTGCTAAGGATGGGGGAAATGAGCATGTCCCACACATTCATGGTTATTTGTCTTCCTAGATTCCAATATGGTGGCATTGGTTCGATAAGCAAGCAAACCAACCAAGCAGAAGGAAGAATAACACGAATGAGACATGTGTACCTCTTGCACTGAGCGCGCTGCGGGCTTGTCTTGATGATTGGCCAATATTAAAAAGGGCAAAGTGCATAGCTGTGGGTGCTGAAGAGCAGAATGCAGTTCATTTCTAGCCGTTTCTAAATCGTCCTCTGAGGAGGCACTGTCTAAGACGAATATTACTCCTTGAGATCCTTGGTAGTAGCGGCTCCAGTATTTCCGGATATTATCAGCTCCTGTCAAAACAAAATCGGAATCTATTTTAAATAGTTCTCATCAACTTAAGAGCGCCCCAAGTAGCAATTCCTACTGGAAACCAATGCGTCTTTTCAAACACAAGTGCTAAAGTCTGTGGTACAAAACAGTCCAGGAATCTAAGAACTACACATCACGTAGGTAAGGGCATTATAACCGCTGGGCAGACACAGTCATGAAGCAGAACAGATGTTTAAATTGTTCTTCATGCTTTTCTATCAAAATAAATAAGAGACGACCAGGATAATACTTCTTTTATTAAAATCAAAAGAATGTATCAGTCCTAATGAACTACACTGTCCACAGAGACAAGAAAGCAATGTGACCAAGACATTTACCACAGTATCTTAAGATCCCACTTCTGTTAAGTTTGGTGGTGGTTTTTAATAGAATAATGCTATGCTTGGTTTTATTCCCCCAAGGGTTCACATGACAGAAACTTAAGCTTTTAAGTTTATGTTGATGCTACTTGGAGCTGGGGCCTATGGAGGTGACCAGGGTTAGAGAAACAAGGGTGAGGGCCCTGTGACAATGGCTTTACGACAGGAAGAACGGACAGTCACACTTTCCCGCTCAGTCTCTCTGACCACTGATGTCTGCTGCTACGTCAAGACAGAGCGCAACCCTCAACAGATGCGGAGCTTCAACCTGGGACTTCCCTGCCTCTGGGCCTGCAGTAAATTCTTTTCGTTAGAAATTGCCCAGTCTGTATTTTGTTGTAGCAACAGAAACTGGACTGAGACACAGAGCTGAGTGGCCTTGTTTAACTTCACATAGAGAGTTATTAGCATAATAACTTTTTATGTCAAAATACTGAAATTTGCGAACCACTAAAATCTTGGCCTTTCATGTATGTGTAAATCCACTTGGGTTTACTGCTCATGAGGAGAAAGAAAAGGTAACTGAGCGCACTCCTGGTGTCGATGGGACATGGTGCTTAGAGGAGAGGTTTGAGAAGGCCAAACCTTGGTATTTCTAATTGAACTGTGTTAGTAGCCAGTTTGCCCAGGAAGGGCACAGGCATCTCCCATTACACGGTAAGTCCTTTTATTTCTTTGTTTTGCAAAAGCGAGGGGCTCTCTGTGCGTATCTGCAGTGAACAGAAGGGATGCAGTTGGTTATATAACAAGAATTAGCTAAGCAATTTACTGATCTGCAGTGTATGATCTAGTCCGAACCAGTTGATAACTATGTTCTAGTCATGCATTGAACATTTAGCTTCTACGTGTGACATGCTGTGCTAAATGAAAGGGACCAACAGTGCAGGCTAGAGTTGGGGTACAAAAGCCACTTATGCATATTTCTTCCCAACTCTGTGTTCGATGATTTTATATTAGCAGCTTCTACCAAGTGGGGGCATCCTGGCCGTGGAAGATGGCCTGGCCTCTGCTTTCCCTGGTGAGCCAACACATTGCTGGGTAAAACTGAGCAGCTGCTATTTTCCAGAAAATAGGAGATTGAAAGGCTCTGATAACAGTTTGTTCAAGTACTGGCTCCAAGGTGCTCACCTAGAGCAAGGCAAAGAAATTAAAAAAATTAATACATGCGAGAAGGTGGCTAACCTACTATACTCTCGCACAATGCTGAGTGTTGAGACTAGATCAGACAATTCTCACAACAGCTAAGGGATGCAAGTATAACTGACTTAGGTTCTGAAACTAATTTTCTGATCCTAAAACAGGACAAGTCACCACTAGAACACAGTGAAATAGCAAGGGATATAAAAGCTTCAAGGGCATCCAATAAGAAATGGTTAAATAAGCAAATGGGAGGGATATGAACAGAGCTGTTACACATTAGAAAGACTGAAACAAGAGCAAGGAAATTTAAACCCTAGATTATGTGAGGTGTGAAATTCATTGCTTAAGCGATGGGGAACCAATAAAGCAACAGAGCAACAGAGATTAGCCACATCTAAGGTGAGGTTTCCTAAAAGCACAGCCTGGAATGGCCCTTCTGGCACCTATGATCATAGAAAGAAAGCTTCGGAGAGAAGTCAGGGGTGAAACATGTCAACTGGATGGGGAAGAATCTTGGTGAAGATCTGACTTCAGCTATCGCACCCCAGCTTAATCCTCCAAGGAGCTCTTAGAGTCTGGACGGAATCACATAAAGATGTCGAGTCCAGAGGCCAGGATATCTCTGCACAGTTATTGGCTCTGAGCCACCCCTGGGTACCTGGAGGGGGTTGGGACGAGATCTCAGAATTATATCTGGCTGGGGAGGTTACTGTCAGCCAAGAGTGGTCCTCTGGAGAAGGGTACAGGTGTGCGTCATTAGCAGCCAATCCCACAGCAGCTGCGAGATGGATGCACTGGCCCAGCAAAGGAGGTCTGCGTATGATACCAACAGCATCTGTCACAAGCTAAATCCAGACACTATCCATATGCTAGAAACCCATCCATAAGTCTGGGAGACAAAAGTGACAGCAGTGTTATCCAGCGATGACTATTCAGAAATAACAAAATACTGCGTGTGTGTGCACCCAAACCACTACAAATTTTACTAACATGAAAATGTGAGATACACAATTGCCATGTAATAATACATGCGATTTGTTCTACTGTTAATTCTACAAGGCCGATGAAAATGTAGAGAATGCTTTCATTGATTTTGTAACATAGAAAACCAATGGCTGCAATTGATCAATAATTAGTCCTGTATGGTTACTGATGGTCTAAGTGTCTTATGGGGATTAATTCATTCATTGAAGACAACCTGATAAGGTAGATAACACTTTTTAAAATTAAAGACTTATTTATTTTTATGTGTATGGTTGTTCTCTCTGTGTACTGTGTGCGTATGTTGCCTGCAGAGGCCAGAAAAGGGCATCAGGTCCCCTAAAACTGGAGTTACAGAAGGTGCCTAGCCACCAAGTGGGTACTGGAAACAGAACCTGGGTCCTCTACAAGAACAACTAGTGTTCTTAACCGCTAAGGCATCTATCTAGCTCCAGAAATCAGTATTACGATCACTTTCAATTTATCAATACGAACACCATGACAAAAAAGTATTGTGTGGACTTATTCAACACTATACATTCAAAACACATTAGGTCTAAATGCGATTGAGATAGGGTGATCACTGAGCAGAAATGATGAGCTAAATAAAGAACTATATTAACACATACACCATGGTGGGAAGGGCTGGAAGAGGTGGTACCTAACACACACACACACACACACACACACACAAAGTATATACACTCCAAAAAGCACTACTTCTAAAACAGTTCCCAGCCAACTGACCAAACAATACTTTTAAAGTGTCTTGTCCATAAAAAGACAATGAAGGAGGGTCTAAAGAGACATTTAATAATCCTTTAACAGTCACATGAAGTATAATGCCTATAAATCTACCAGAAGGAACAAATATAGCCACCTGCTGCATAATATCCAGGGCACCAAGCATAATGAAGAAAACAGTGGACACATATTTCAGAAACTCATCTAGTGGAAACTCGGGGGATACAATGGAAAACCAACTCAGGCAGTCATTGCCTCAAAGAGAAACCATACTTTTGTCATATTACAAAATATGCAGGCTTGAAATAGACGAAACAAAATGGCAAGAGCTCAATCAGTAGTAGTGGTGAATAAAAAAAATGCAAAGGAAATAAAAAAATGCAAAGGAAGATCAAGTGTTCTTTATATGACATAATATATGAATATTTTATTCTTAATAGTGAAAACACTTCTTAATTTCTTACAACAAAATCCCCCTGCAACCCTAGGGTCTTTGAATATCTTCACAAACACAGAGTTTGGAATTCTAAACTGCAGTTTTTACAACTGACAAAGTCGGCAGCAGCCTAGCCCAGAGTGGGGCCAAGGAAACCAGCAAAGAGGTGATGGGTGGTGGCACAGTGAAGAAATGGCTGTGTCATCAACCAAACTGCCAGGCACTCTGAGGATGGAGACCAATTGGGAAGGTCAAGGACACCTACTTGATGACCACTTTCCATCCACGAAGGACTTACCATCTCACATAGCCCGAAGCCACTCTTACCCCACAGATTAAAGTATGATCTCTAGCCTTAAATTACAATTTTTACATGAAATAGCTAGGTACCAAACTCAAACAAGGTATATATACATTTACATTTAATCTAAAGCCAAGGAGGAGTTTTAACAGTAGAAGGGTTGTGAAGACGGGGGTTGCCCATACCACTGAAGGCTCAATACTGACTTGTTAGAAGTTGTAATGACAGGCTGGAAAGATGGCTCAGGAGATAAAGTGCTTGCTGTGCCAACATGAAGACCTGAGTCCAGATGCCCAGAACCCACATAAAGCCAGACATCCTCCCATGAAGAGACGGGAGGCAGAGACAGGAAAATGTGGAGGCAGCAGTCTTTCCTCACACACCCCTGACGGGCACACTCTTCAAGAGAGAAGGAAAAGACTCAGTTCAGTCTCTAAGAGTATCAGAATCAGGAAGTAAAAATTGTCAGTCTTCTTAAATTAACCCAAAGGCATCTTTTAAAGCATTCCAAACAACTTAAGGAGTAGCACGTAGCAAGAATGTGCGGGCCATACTGACGCAGACAACTGTTTCTGGGATAAATTGTGCAACTGTTAGAGTTGTAAGTCAAACCACCTGCTTTTTCCTTTCCATTTTTACCTGGAATTTTAATGGATTCAGTCTATGATTTATGTTACTTCACGGAAAATAAACAACAGTATTATTCATCGTCAAGGACAAAAATTATTTTCAAGCAAAAGCCAGAGTCTTGGAAGAGTTCTATCTGCTATTGTGCATGGAATAGCTTTTCAATGAGGAGAGTGAGGGTAATATTAACAGAGACATATTTACAATGCAGTGTGTCAGCATTTGGAAAAGCCAAAAGAACTTAATGATTCAAGACCTACCAAATGATGGACAGACAGGCTACAAAGCCTTGCACAGATTTTTAACGCACTGGTACCAACCACTTATGACAAATGTGCAGGATCTAAGGTACACTGATTTGAATCCACACTG